AGATAGATAGATAGATAGATAGATAGATAGATAGATAGATAGATAGAGAGTGTGTGTGTGATTGAAGGTTCCCCTGGAGGGGAGGGAATCTTCTGGAGCTGGAGTTACAGGCAGTGGCAAGGTACTCCGTGTGGATGCTGGGAATCGAACCTGGGTCCTCCGAAAGATAGTAAGTGTCCTAACTGCTGGGTCACCTCTCCAGCTTCCTCATTTGCACTTTTTATTTGCTTGGGCCTACATAAAAAACACGACTGTCCTCTGTCAAAGGGGAAAAGAGAGTTTATTCTGGAGTCAAGTATGCGTGACCATAGCTCAGGAACACAAAACTGGGGCTCCACAAATGTATGCAGGAATAGAATAACAATTTTATAGTCTCATGGTTTTCATAGTATCGGAACAAAGAAAACCATGGAACATTCCTTAAGTACATTGCTGAGTACATCAATTCAGGCGTGCTATAACAAAGAGGAGGCGGCTCTGCTAGAGCCTTAGACGATATCTGATGGCATTCTTAGCTTTCATGCTGATGGACGTGAATTTACTGATAGTCACAAGGCTGCTGGTTCACAGCAGCGTGGTAATAAATTACCACTGAGGGACTAACAGTTCAAGATCGTTTGGCACTAGATCCAAACATCCCAATATCTCAAGACACTGAAGGTCTAATCAGTTCACCAGCCCTGTAGAATGTTGCTTCTTTGGGGAAATTTTGGTTCATCTCTTGTATAATTATTATATTAGTATTTAGTTCCTCTGTCATGATTCCATGGAGAAAAATAAGTATCTTCTTTTACTTACGTTCTGTCTTCCTGCTCAGCACTACCTGTCTCTCACTGACTCCAAACAGAGTATGCTGAGTGGTTTTATCAGAGAGGAGGGAACCCCGACTGATAAAATACCTCCACAACACAGGGCTGTAGGCAGGCATGTAGAGCCTTTTCTTAATTAGTGCTGGATTGGGGAGGGCCCTGCCCATTGTGGGTGCTGCCATCCCTGGGCTGCTGGTCCTGGGTGCTATAAGAAAGCAGGCTGAGCAAGCCATGGGGAGCAAGCCAGTAAGCAGCGCTCCTCCATGGCCTCTGCTTCAGCTCCTGCCTCAAGGTTCCTGCCATGTCCGAGTTCCTGTCCTGACTTTCTTCAATAATGAACAGTGATATGGAAGTATAAGCCAAATGAACCCTCTCCTCCTCAATTTGCTTTGGTCATGGTGTTTCATCACAGCAACAGAAACCCTAACTAGGACAAAACATAAGCATCATTTTTAGCAAACAGCCCACTCAGAATCCCTGAGCTCACAGAAAGCATTCTTGGTTCAGGAACTAAAATTGAGTTTGCCTCAGGCACCTGGGAGGCATACAAGCTAATAGGTCCATTGCAAATCTTCTTAAATTGAGAGGGGCTAGAGAGACAGAGACAGCCCCATGCTTAAGAACACTTACAGCTCTTGTAGAGGAACCGGTTTAGTTCCCAGACCCCACACCAGGTGTCTCACAAGTGCTTGTAGCCCCAGGTCAAGTGGAGCGAAGGGACACTGTGCCCCTTGAGCACCAGTACATATGCCATGCACGTAGACTCATTCAAGCACACACACATAAAAGTTAGTTTTAAATGTTTAAAGTAATGGAGGGCAGATGTGGGCTGGAGCATGTGTGGCTTAGTATTTGCAAAGGCCATGAATTCCAGTGTCTCATCCCCAATACCAAGAAGAGAAAGAAGGATGAAAGAAAGGCAGGAGGGAGGAAGAAAGGGAAGAAGGCAGACGAGCAGGCTGGTCATGCTCTTGGGGATGTGAGTTACTGGAAGTATTTAACATGTGTAAAATGGGATTATTAGTTACTGCAGTTGAATTAATGCGCCAATGCTATCTTAAATTCCTCATGGACATACAGAACTCATCCAGCTTAGGCACCTCCAGACTTCTCCACATGGGCTATTTCAAAGGCTCCTGTTTGTTCAGTAGCTCCTTCCAAATTCTCAGTGCCATTGCTGATTGTTCCCAGCCTCTCAGTAAAACATTTATAAAGCTAAACCTGGAGCAGTCAAGTCTTTCTCTGACTCCAGTCCAGGGGTCCATCCTCTCTTCTTCACATCACTGTAATTTACTGCAGCTGCTGTGCTGTTGGTCATGCTGTGTCTAGGTGAAAGATCCCCGGAGGGTATCTTCCGTCAGAGAGACCCCCTCCCAAAGAACAACGAGTCCATTCGGATGCAAACAGCAAGAGGCTTTTATTTTGATACTCGGGTACCCGGGGCGAAAAGTCATTCGGGAGACTTCCGCGCCCCCTAGATGGGAAGCTGGGGTTTTTATAGGGTTTTAGAGGCAGAAGCACTGGTACCGAAGCGAGAAGGCATGGTTACAGGGGGCTGATTGGTACGTTTACACGAGACCACAATTTGCGTCAAAGTTTGGCAGGGGCACCAAGATTCTAGGAACTGGGTGGTCAAGGGGGGTAGGATGACCCCTTGACGTGGCCCGCCACCTGTTATTTTGTTTTTCCCTATCTTAGCTGAAACAGTCTCACAGATATCTATGAGAGTGATTAACACAAACTGTTTTTAGTATGACTGGGGCAGCCTGACCACAGATATCCCAAGTGGGTGACACAGCTAGGATTTCTCAGTAATTTTCCAGTTTCTCATCTGGCCTTCAGAGTTTTATAAAACAGTGGTGTCTCACAAAATGGCGTTAGCTATGTTTAACTTAGTGTGAGGCTGGGGTCTTTCATAGGTACCTCCAGCTCTCCACACTGCAAACATCAGCAAAAGAGAGGGTTCACAAGTGTGTAACCCTGGAGCTAGAGGTGGCTAAATGGTTAAGAGCACTTACTGTTCTTGCAGAGAGCCTGGGTTCAGTTCACAGCACCCACATGGTGGCAGTACGGAGGATCTGACACCCTCCTCTGGTTCCCTCTAACACATACACATACATAATTCATCATTTCCTCCCATATTTCTGCTGACCAAACTCCACAAGGACACTCTACCCTCATCTTAGTATTAAAAATAAAATGTAGTTTTAATTATTCCACTAAATAACTTCATGGAGAAAAATCAAGGAGCACAGCATTGGCTGATCCATGCATTGATTACAGGAGGAGAACTTGATTTACTTGTTTGTGTAATACACATAGGAAAAAAACCAGGAACATCTGTCACAAGGTCTGCAGCCAAAGAAATCCAGCTATTCCAGCAAAGTTCCTGTTAGATATCAAAGAAACCTGTGACAAATCTCAGTACCAGTGGCTCCTCCCAGCTCTTCTCAGGCTACATTAACCCTCTCCAGCCCAGGCTGTGGGATTCCCTTTCCTGCGACTCTTATCCCTATATCTTAAGCCATTGGTTTTTTGGCTCATGGCTGGTTGCACTCCTGGGTCTCTCTTGGTCCACTTGTCCCCCTTTCTTCTCTCTTGGTCTTCCACCAACCAAACAACAAAGCCTTTGGCACACATCTTAGGGAATATTTTTAAGATTTATTTATTTTATCTTATGTGTGTGCGTATGTGCGTATTTTGCCTGCATGTATGTCTCTATACCACACACATGCCTGGTTCCCTTGGAAGTCAGAAGTGCGCATTGGAGCAACTGAATTAATGTAGTAATGTACAGATTAACTTTAAAAGTTCCTGATGTCTTTAAAAAGTCCAGCACTTGGTGTTGCAGGATATTTCATCTGCTGCAAACCCTGAGATGGTGAGCTGTAAGAACCTGTTCCTTGTTTGTTGTGGCTCAACCCTAACACACACCTTTAACCCCAGAGCTCTCTGTTTGCTGTAAACAAGTATTTGTGATTTTTTGCTCAGCCCTAGCACACACCTTTAATCCAAGAGCTTTCTGTGAACATGATTAAATAAAGTTAACCCTAGGTCAAGAGCTGACAGGGAGCAAACTGAAAGGAGAGACTTTGAGAGAAAGGGAGTTAAGAGAGTGTGGAGAAGGAGAAAGGGATTTTGTTTTTTTCCTTCTGGGATATCGGCTGAGTTGAAAGGTCAGCTGGGTGCGTTTTCTGCCTCTTTGAGCTAGAAGGTTTTCACCCCCGGCATCTGGCTCCTGAGTCTTCATTGGTAAAATAGAACAACTGAGATTTTGTTTTTAAAACAACTTGGAGCTGAAGAGGTGACTCAGTGGTTAACAGTATGTATTGCTTTTCCAGAGGGCCTAAGTTTGGTTCTTAGCACACATATCAGGCAGCTTACAGCTCTCAGTAACTCCATCTCCATGGAATCCAATACTATCTTCTGGACTTTATTGGCAACCACCCACACATACACATGTAAAAGTAGCTTTTATTCCTGCCTTTGCCTGCTAACCTAGGCCTAGTCCTGGAAGCTTCTAGCCTCCGTACGATCTAATCTAAGCCAAGAATGTTTGCAGCCCCTGAGACTCACTGCTGAATAAGCTCACCCTTTCTTCTCTCTGTACTCTAGCTGGCTGGTTCAACTCAACTGTTCTGGCTCAAACCCTTCTCCAAGCTGACTGATTCAAACTGGCTTCTTTTTTCACCTATCAACTGTTTTGCTTAGCCTCAAACTAACTCCAGCAATCTTTTCTAATATTCTGTCTCATTCTCTGGCTCTTTCTATCTTCTCCTATGTCTAGCTTGTTCTTTCTTCAACCCATCTCTGTAAAACTCTCCTGGTAAAACTGCCTCCCTCTCTCTCATTCTCTTGCTGTTCCCTTCAGTAGCTTACCTTTCCTTTGTCTTGTGAAAGTTGGCCTTATCCCA